AAGCAATTCATGAAAATAGAAGCCTACAATGATGTTTCATTCTCTTGCTCAAAAAGTGTCGTAAAATTTTACCGATGGCAGTTGTTTGTCAATCTCCTATCCTACCGTATAGTGCTTAATTGAAAGGTAAACTTCTTCATGTAGAATGCAGTGAAAAAAAGATCAATAGGTAAAGGTAAATCTTTTCCTGCAATAACAGAATTCTTCCTTCTTAAAAAAGAACGTTCCTTCAATAGAAAGTTCTTCACCAGATAATGGATGCATCTTCAATGAAATGTGAATTGCTATGGAAACAATCTTATTGAGCTCTACGCAACCAAAGGTCACAAGAGGCACAAACAGGGGAGTCCATAAATTCCTCATGTGATAATCCGAGTCATAAAACATAGTAGAATGGTATAGGCAAGTCTGAATCAAGTTGGTTCTCTGTCTGCTGAGTACATGAACACAGAATTACACAGGGGTAATACATCTTTCAGAGAGTTAATAAATGTTGGGAACTCCATGGTCATGGCAACGTGTTATGCAGCATAACTAGCATAATCAAGCTGGAGAGGCCAATTGAAATTTTAAACAACTTACGTGTTCAACACTTGTTGCAACTGCTAGGTATTGTTCTTCTTCACCCAAAAACTTCATATCTGCAATCTCTTCATTGTATCCAATAAGCCTCTTTCTCAGGACTAAGTTCAAACCACCTTCAGGATGTTCCTCAGGAACATAGACGAGAAACTGCTGGTCCGCTGTAACACATAGCAATCCTTGTCCAGATGGCAACATCATAGCAGAAATAAAACCTCTTCTCACTTCTTCTTTGTCTGAACTGACAGTAACATCCGAAGACTTCTGCTCAAAAAGGCACACAGCTCTGTTTCACAGTTAATTTCAAAATTTCAGCAGACTTCTAAAAGATTCCCTACTCAAGAGTGCTTGAGAAGATATGTAGAAAACGGTCTCAATAAAAAGTACTCCCACCGACCCATAGTGAAAGGCTTGATTCTATTTTCACATGGATCAAGAAAATGCAATTGATATAGTTAGAAATTTGTTTATACATCTTTTCTAATATATCCCTACATTAAATAATAGTTTAAATATGAATAGTTCATATTTGTCGATAATAAGGCACGATAATTTAAGACATATTAGAAAACAAAAAAATCAACTATATTTTCAATAAGGAAAGTGGCTTATAATTTGGGACAGACGAAAAAGGAAAGGAGGCCTATCTTTATAGGACGGAAGGAGAAGTTAAAGGGGTAAAAGAAATTGATTTCCACATCCATTGGAAAATCTTGTTTTTGTACATCCCATGATCAAAGTAAAAGACAAACTAGACAATAAATTTACAAGTAACAGGAACTCTAGCTAAAACACATGCTTGAAACATGTTGTGCATATTACACATAACTTCATTAAAAAATATATATATAAAAAAAAATCGTAAGTGCATTCCGTACTATGTAAAATTTTCGAAGCAATCAAAAAATAAGGACAACTTACCCATCAGAGTACCATATCCGTACAATTCCACGTTCACCGATGGTTATAAATTGAATTGATGATGATGAGATTTTTTTCCTCCCATGCTTCTGTATTGATAAAGCCAAACATGAGGTGAAAGGAGATCCAGAATTAATTGTGCACACAGCTTCCACTGCCTCATAAGTTGGCACAGTGACCTTACAGCTATAATCGTGCAGGTTCCAGACATTCACAACCTGAAATTACTGTGAAAAATTAGCAGGTGACTAGTAAAGTACGTTAAAAGTTTGATCACCATGAATTGATCACATGCAGCACAGGACAACTGGACAAGCATATTTACTGCTAGCCAAAAGCACTAATAATTTTAATAAGTGCTTAATCTGTTCTTTTAACTTATAAGGCTTTTCCAATTAGCATCTGCAAGATTGCAGTTGCAATAGTGACTAATAAATATTCAGTCAGGTAAGGTACTCAGGTTGGTGATTTGAGAACCACGGTGAATGAGGGAAAATGGGATCATACCTTATCTCTTCCGGCACTAAGTAAGGTCCATCCATCTTCAGATATTGAGAAGGAAGTCACTGTGGATTGATGTTTTTCAAGCACTGCAACACATTTTTTGCCGGTAAGATCCCACACTCTAATGGTAGCATCGTCACTGCTCGAGAAAAGCTGTAAACAAAGCGCCAATTCTGAGCTAACTTCAATTTTAATTTCCCATTATCTCGTATCAATTTTATTTGCGCACTGAATTACACTAAAATGAGCGATAAATTCTCTTTTGAGATAAATACTCACAAGTAATCTATTCGGGTCAGGATGGAACATAATACTGGTCACAACCCCCTTGTGCCCTTTGAAATAGTGGGTGCAGAAGCCTCCATCCACATCCCAAACCAGCACTTTCCTATCAGCCCCCGCAGTCGCCAGTAATCCTCCTGAAGCATGGCAAGCCATTCCCATGATCGGGCCCTCATGCCCCTATTTTAAAAATAAAATCATATCACATCAAAAAATAAAACGGAATGAGTGCTTGATCACTTTATATTGTACTCAAATATGAAATCGAACCTTCCATGAGCGTAGGCATTTGAGGGAAGATACATCCCAAACACGAATTTGGCGGCTGTGGCTAGCAGAGAAAAGGAACTTATCGTCTTGGCTGAGAGAGAGGGCTGTGAGCGGCTCGGAATCGCCTTCGATAGTGGATTTAATGGAAGCATTGAACGAATCAACAATCTTGATATTGTCATCGCAAGCGCACACGAGAAAAGAGCCGTCAGATGAGACAGCGTAAGGGCCACCGGTGTAGAATTGCTGCAGCGATTGAGCGCACCTGTAGTTCTTCTTCATTGCAATGGAAGAGGCCATGACGAAAAGGGGTCGGGAGTGGTGATTCTGGTGAAGATTAGGGCTGTGAGTGGGGGAGGGAGACTACGAAAAAAGGGTTTTAGTGTTCAGGGTTTTGTTTGTTACAAGTCTGATACTAATTATTATTATTAAAAATTAAAAAAATTAAAAAGAAAAAGAAAAAAGAGAGACAATATGGAAAAACCCCTCGAACAATATCAGGAGAAATCCTGACGTTTTTAAAATATTACTATTTTCCATTATTTTTAAATTTCGGTAATATTTTTAATAGTGATTTTTAGAAAAATGTGTAGGTAGAAAATAGAAAAGCTATTAATTTACATATAAAATGTTTTATTGTATAAATATCTGACTGAAAATGAATTTTTTCAAATAATAGTTGTCAAACGGTGGCTTACTTATGTTTAACTTTAACGTCATATATTATTTGAAAATAGGTTAATATATCTAAAATGCCATTGTTACAAAATATAACTTTTTTTATTGTTACTTGTAATTTAATTTGTTCAAAATAAACAATAATAATATATCAAATTACAAATCGTCATACAGGATGCCACGTAGGACGACTATTAAGTGAGTAATTATGAATGGCATTACCAAATGTTGCAGGTTTTAAGAGTGTAATTAAATTAAAATAGGATAAATATAGTAAAATATTTAATTAAAATAGGTAATTACAATTAAGAACAGGGTTCCGTTTGATTTTCATTTTTCTAAAAATGAGAATGAAAAATATAGTCATTACGAAACCCACACAAGAAATAAAAATTCAAATATAATGACTTAATATTATAAATAACGATCATTTTTTCATTTTTGTGGCAAAAAAATGAGAATCAAGCGGGGGCTAAGAGTGAGGTATATTTAAAATTTTATAAAAAGGAAGGGCTTTGGCATAATTAAACGAAATTATTTTCATGGTATAAAGTGTAGAAACCTGCTACACGAACAAGGACCCGTGTCAGCCCCTGATTTGACCACTCTGCCCCTGTTACAGGGCTGTCAAAGGCCTTTGTTTGAGTAGAATAATTGTAAAGTATATTCCTTTCGTAGCTGCACGATCACTTAAAATTTCTCTTTTAAGATCACTACTTCTTCAATTGCGAATTAATTAATGTCTGAATTTTTTTGGACACATGAACTTGCCACCAATTAAATGTATTCAAGGAGAGTGGAGCTAAAGTTAGTTGAGGTATTGCATCCAGTGAATGTATACATACATACAACACCATATATATATTGGATAAAGCTACTCAAACAGATGAAAATGCGAGGGTTTAAAAATAGGTGCTCCGTGTTAGCACTTGTCCAATCCCTTCCTCCTTTTTAAACTAGTCAATCGGTGTTTGACAAGTGCCCTTTGTTTTTAAACCTTACCCTTTGTGTAGCAAAGTCCATATATATTTCTCTAGCGAGTCAAGCTATCAAGCAAATCACATGTGTACACTAAGATGATTGTCTTAATTAATTAATGAGATGACAAGATGTATTAATTACTACTCTCAAACAAATAGATGATCGATAATTTGGAGAAGATATATGGTAGGTGAGTTAGTTGTTTTTGTTGAAAATTTTAAGTTCAATAAAATATGTGGTTAAAACTAATTGTTGACTTTTATTTAAATTTTTATAAACTTTTTTAGTTAAACCAAACGTGACTAAAAGTTACTAAAATATTAGGGTTTTTTTTTTTTTGTCTAAAAATTTTCAGAGAGTACTCCTAGTTCTGAATAGAAAACAACTAAATTAACAAAATTAGTTTAAATTTAATTGCTTTTATATTTAGCCTTTCTTAATTTGGGTTCTGCAAAAAATTTAAGTTAAAGTTAAAGTTAACAATTAGTTTTAATCATACATTTTATATAATCCAAAACTTTTCTTAGAAACCGTCCAGGACCCACCTATATTGGGCGCCAAACGGTGCCCTTGGACATGTATCTTTATCCTAATTAATATTACTTCTAGCTAGCTATTTGATCTGAATCTATTCCACTAAAATAATGTGGTAGCTAGGGTTTGATAAAAAAAAAAATTAGCTGCTTGGTGTTGCTTTTGTGTGAGATAGACAAATACTGAAGGATCTAAGGGACTTATTTTAATTTTTTGCAATAGTTTGAGGCAAATTAATAATCATAATCAATCACCAACTCTTTGGCTTTATAAGTTGTAGATTTTGTGTATACACACAAACGAAGACTAAATCAAACAGTGGTCTTTCTATAATATTTCTGAATTTCTTTTGTATCATCAGATAGCTGCTGCAGCTTCTACAGTGAAGTGTCTTGGCTGCAATGAAATAATAAAAATATGGAACAGGTCATTAATTAGTATATTTTGATTAATTAATTAAAACGTGTAAAAAGTAATCAAGTAATACATACTCTGTGACTTGTTTCCAGAAGTACTTGCTTGCTTCGTCATCCATAAGATCTCCCAAAACATCAAAAGTAGTTGAGGTAGATGAGTTAGAGAATTGATCTTTTGGGCTTATAATATAGCTTTTAGTAGTTTGATATTCTGTATTCACGGTGAAAGACTCAGGGGAGGATGCCGGAACCAGTTCTGGTATCGAATAATTATTGCACAATGATGATGTCCCATACTCACTGGTGTCTCTAATTTGTTGAGTAAAAGTTCTGTTGGATTTTATCGACAATTCTTCGACTTCAGGATGGAAGATAGTTTGAGAAACATTTAAGTTCGGAAAAGTTGATGTAAAAGCAGGAGTGTACGGAGCCGAGTTACTATATAACAATGCTTCTAACTGTGAATCCAATATCAATGGAGCAGGATATTGTTCAATATTAGTACTATTACTCGGGTTTAAGAATTGCAGTATGTTACCTAAGTATAACATTTTGGCAAATTCTATTGCAGTAGTTGAATCTTGGCATGCCAGAGCACTATTGATGCATATACTATTTACAGCTGCAAGAAGCTGATCGGGTGGAATATTTGCAAGGGAATTCATGAGGAGATTATCAGTTCTAGGCATATGAGTGGTTGGATCTATCCCTCTTCGAAATAGTTTCTTCTTCAGATGAGTATTCCAGAAGTTCTTGATTTCGTTATCAGTTCGTCCCGGTAGACGACTTGCTATGGTTGACCACCTGCATTTTGCACCAACACCATATCATATCCATTTTCATTATGATAGTATCGTTTAAATTTTGGCTTCAACACTCTATTTCACGTGTAGGCAATGTGCAATGAGATTTGAACCCTGTAACTTTGTGTGTCTGATCAACGGTGGAGCCAGAGAGGACTAAATATTTATTTATTTATTATTATTATTTTTAATACTACGCCGGTGCATGATACACCATATTTTTTTAAACCTAAAAAAACTGAGGGGATGTCTGTGGCCCCTTTTTTTTTTCTTTTTTTCAAAAAATAAGGGGGTGTTCTCTTTGTGTTTCAATTTTGTGCTTTGAGTTTTGAATTCATTTTGAGTTTTGTGTTTTGAGTGTTTGTTTTGAAATTGTTGAAAATGCGTTCTTTTTGTTAGTTTCTCAAAACAAAAAAAAATGAATTTTTTTTTTTTGAAATTTTGAGAATCACCACAAGATCACCTCAAATAATAAAAA